TATATATACTCCTGCTATAAGTATATTTATATACTGGGTATTTTCCCCAGTGTTTATACAGTCAGGTTCTCCTTGAGGTTAATCAAGTTCAATTATTCGCGGTTTACCTCTTATTGTAAAAAATGACATTAGATGAACTTTTCACCCCCTCACAATTTTAAAGTCCATTCCTTGTTTTAAGGTGAAAAACATATTCAGCAGTCATTTAGAAACTCTATAAACCCTTTTGTGGACATCTTGTAGTATACCACAGATTATTGGATGTAAAATGAATCAATTTGAGTGTCTTTAACAATGTACCTGTGCCAGGCATTACAAAAATTGGCCAAGCACTTTATCAGGTCCGCCACTCCTCTATCCCTCTTGGCTGTATTCCATTCTCCTTGGCACAGTGGACTGGTCTGAATTATAGATCCTGTCCGCTGCTTCACTTTATTTTCATCCTGTTTTTTTATATCAGTCTTAACAGCCTAGTTCTTGAGGGAATTCAGAAAAAGCAAGCTTACCTGTATTCCCGGGACAGCAGAGCAGCTGGTGCTTGTGGATGAGAAGGACCCCGGCTTCAAGGTACAGAGAACATCTCCGCTTGGCCACCTTTTACCCTTTTTAACTCTCCACCTGGCTTTTGTCGGTCCCAACAGAAGGCCGAAGGTCTTCTCATTAACACCTTGACCTGTAAGCATGCTTGATCTGCTCCGCGGGGACACTGCGTCATTTAAATGACTCCGGACCAAAAGCACTGGGATAAAGTGGAGGAGAGCACAGCCACCCAGAAAGATTCCCAGTTTAACCCCTGCTGCGTAACAACCCGACCGGCACTGTCCAAAGCCTTATAAACACCATATGTCACAGTCTGATCACACAGTGTAGATTAGAAGACTTTTAAGCTTATCATTGACCACTAGCGGTGTGTTTAGGTATTGTCTTGTAGTGTATTTATTTAAGAAGTAAGTATTTAATCATCAATGTGCATTGCCAATGCAATGCACACTATTGTGATTCGTTCCCCATCTAAGTCATCCTCTATTTCGGCACGCTTCTCCCCCTACATACTTTGTCCTAGAGCTGCCATTGTAATTTGTATCAGTAATGCTCCTGTGCCAAATGCAGGCAAAGCTTTTTGGTGCCTGTACAGCTTATAGTTTTTGAAATATTAATCTTTAAACTATATTAATGGGTGTCAATAGAGCCTTGTATTGGTACAATACTGTCCCTTGTTTATGTGCTCAGCTTGGTACTGCACCATACTTTAATAATATTTAAACTCAGTACTTCAGTGATTACTATACTGATTTCTTTGTATTTTAATGTTTTATTAGATTATTGTCTTGTAAGCATTTGCAACTTATATAATATTGCTTTATTGTTGTAATATATTGCAGTTTTGTGTCAACGATCGTCATTGGCAACATTGCCTCTTTCTAAACACAGAAAAAAACACTGGGACTGTGCTTTCACACAGATCCAATGGTCTCTTGGTTAATGCCATGGACTTTCATGTGGGAGATCAGGGTTCAAAATCCAGATACAGCAACTTTAACTAAAATTCTCTTCAAAATTCAAATTGTCACACAATTACCCTGATTACAAGCACCTCATGACTTGACAACCCCAAGCTGGTATAGAAATCACATTTGAACTTGCTCACAGCTCATTCTGCAAGTCCACTGCTGCAGGCAAAGGCATGCTACAAGGCAATGCACACTTGTTTTTACATCGTAAAAACCCATGTCTAGTTTAATTTGGTTTCCAGTATGCTTCTTCTGTGCATCTGGCCACCTTGAATGCATTATAGGCTGAACTGTCTCCACTGAAACATTACAGTAAGGAACAGTTCTTGGGTAGATTAAATTTGACTTACCAGATCAAAGCTATTTTGTCAGTGTCTGGTTTGTCATTTCCAACAGCTCCTATCATCATTGGAATGCCCCAAGGGTCCGTTCTTGGTCCTGTACTTTTCTCCCAGTTTTAGGCTCCTGTTTGGTTCTAATCTAAATAAACATAAAATTGTATTTCATTGCTGTTCTGAAAGCTTTGTCATATTGTCTAGATTAGTAGTTCCCAAACCTTTAAACTTTTCACCTCAAAATAAAAACTGCAGAAATTTGTGACCCCACTAATCCTGGTTATGGCATATAAACATGGCTATTAAGTCATTCACCAAGCCTTAGTTAATCGTTATACTATCTTTGCAAATAATTTTTGACATTTTAATCTCTTTCACAGTTACAGATTAATATGTATACAGCTTTTAATAATTGAATTCCTGTAGATTTTTTAAAAGTACCAATTTGCTGTTTCATCACCCATAGAAAGCTCCTGATGTATCTCAGTAATCCAGGTAGAAAATTTCAAAAAGAAAAAATAAGTAGGTCCTCTGGATGGATTGTTCTTTAGTGAAACGTTTCGTCTCTCCTCCAAGAGACTTCTTCAGTCTGATGAGTTTCAGGTGAACTCAGCCTTAAAAGCACTGCCCACATGGTTGTCCACCATGTGGAGGCAGTGCTTTTAAGGCTGAGTTCACCTGAAACTCATCAGACTGAAGAAGTCTCTTGGAGGAGAGACGAAACGTTTCACTAAAGAAGAACCCATCCAGAGGACCTACTTATTTTTTCATTTTGAAGCATCCATAGAAAGGTTTCAACCTTGACTTGTTGGTCTAAGAGTTACCTTGAATCAAGATTACCACCACACCTAATCAAACTTTTAGCAAACACAAGAGGGGCTTTTAATTCAGTTTTACAGATATTGAGTTGATTTACTGTGATAGTAGCTCAGACACATTCACTTATTTGAAGCACACTTTAAGACATTGGCATCAAAGTGATGCATACAAAGTGATATGCATTATTTAATGGAATGCTAGTTTCCATTATGAATAATAATCTAAGAGGAAACAATAAGTTTTAGCGAGCTGATGAATGACCATACTTGTACAATCAGTAATATCAGCTAAGAAGCAGAAGTGGGCCAATATCCAGTAGCAGAAATAGATTTTAATGCAGGGGTTGGACACTGCTTTTTCAGGGGGCACGTGGGGCTGGGCAATGATTCAATAATGACATTACTGTAGACACTTGATCAATATCAATGTAAAACAATCACGTCTCTATTTAGTTTTTTTTCTTTTGTTTTCATAACTCCTTTCCTTGTTTTGGAGGTATGACATCATATCTGGGATGGGACTAGGCTCAGAAACTTTGCAATGACCCGGAAGCACCCATTTTGTCTACAAACAGACAGGGGGTCCACAGCACTGTGAAAACACTGTGTGTAAATAAATATTCAAGACTGAGTACTGTTACCTTCGTCTGATTAGTCTTATGAATAATTTCTTTCAATACTACAGATTTTTTTTTGTGTAAATTACAGTTTACTGAGGGTGAAGATACAGGTAAAAAATCCAAAGGGGTTGACGTGTGTTTACCAAAAGAAAACACAACCCATTAATTATGTGGCTTAATTTAATCTTTCAGCTTTCAATGAATGATCTGTCAATCAACTGAGCTGAAACCTGGGATAGCCAATCAGATTTAAGGTGCGATAAAGTCCAGCCATCACTTAAGTCCCTCCCCTAGCAATTCCCTAACTTTGAATTGTTTTCTTTTAAATTAGTCATTATACATTGTGTAACAACAGCATAATAAAACTTTATTTTGTTATGGCCTTTAGCTTTGGCAGTGCACATCAAGAATACCATTGTTCGCTCCGCCCCCTCCCCATCTGACCACCACTTTGAAAACTTTCTCTAGACGCCCCTGGCCTAGATGTGTTTTAAACACTGTGGGGAAAAAAATGTTTTTTTAAGTCTTCCTTCATGCAGCAGCTGGTCTTGATCATTTCAGTGCATCTCTCGGTGGGTGAGCCAGATTTAGATGAAAGTTGACACACTCTATAATTTTCCATCAAACGATGATTCAATTTTTGAGCCCAGCCATTGCAGCTCAGCTCAGCACTGTGCTGCTGTATTATCTCATTGCCTGAAACATTTCTTTGAACTTTTATGATAACTATTGAATTTTTGAGCAACTCTCTGTTAATTAAATATCTCAAGTAGTACTGGACGATAGAGGTGGGAATCTTTTACTGTCTCACAATTCTTTTCAATTTCACGATTCGATTCAAAAGCGATTTTTTTTCATTCAAAACTCAATGTGAGCCCTTTTGTCGTGTTTCTAAAGTGCTTCATCTTCATCTTGCAAATTTTGCACCCAGTGAAGCTCTTGTCAAACTCAGACTCATTCAGTAAAAAAACAAAATGAGCCCAAATCTTTGCATTCAGTGAAGACAGGGTCAGTTGAATCACTCTTTCCTCCAGTTCTGTAGTTTCCTATTTGTTTTGGTGCTTCCTGCACATTCAAATGTTACAGAGCCAGCTCTATGTGATGTCAGGACGTCCCAAGTGGTTACAAAATGGAGGTTGACAACCTTAAACAATTTTGGGGCATTTTAAATCGATTCTGAACCTTTGTAAATGAGAATCACGATTCTCATTTAAAAAATTTTTTGGTGCACCCCTACTGGACGAGCTTTAGCAAAACATTCAAAAAGAACGTTTTGGATGCATCACGTGATAAACGTTTGGAGTTCTCTTGATTCAAGATGGTTGCCACATTCAGTTGAACTTAGCAAACATAACATGGCTGTTAGCTAATTTGACTGCAACTGAGCTACAGTTTGTGGTGGTGTGTATGAGTCATCCACAACACATTGAATGATAATAAATCCCAAAAGATCTTGTAATGTTGTAAACAATCACACAAATGTTATTAACTAGATTTGATGAAAACATTTAAAAATCCTAATGTGATTTGCACGCAGTAATAACTGTAGCCAAAAAATAAAACAAATCTTTAAAAAAAATCTGCCTTTGTGAAACAAACTGWGTCCATATTTCTGCAAAACACATCTACTTGGTTTGGTACCGGTTCCCCTCAGGTCTCAGCTGAACCATCTGGTGTCCCAAAGCAGTGCGGGTTGTTAGTGTGAGTGACAACTACTCCCTTCAGCCCACATTTAACAAAACTATTGTCGAACCAGAGCAGAAAATTACTCCGAACCCATCTCATGTTCTCTGCGCAAAACTTTGTCTTTTCCATCTAGCTGAATATACAGTAGTTCTTTATGAATCATGTGTGTTTAACCTAATATTTAGCATAACCTGTACATTCAAACAGATTTTCCCCAATCAAGGCCACAAAGGTAGATTTACTTTGAAAGAAGTGAAGTAGTTTGTAAAAACTTCTGCTCCTTCCCCAAGTTATTTTTTATTTCAACCATCATGATGGTCAAAACATCATGATGTTGAGGAAAGTTGCTCCAGCCATGGCTAACATTAAACASTAATGTGGGTCTCCAGCAGCTGCCCAGATATACGAGTTCAAAGTTTTTGTTTTATTTTGGCTGCTCCCTCCCTTCTGCGGGGGTCCCACAGCAAGCAAACTCATATRAAAGATTTGGCGATAGTTTTACGCCCAGTTCCCATGAACGTGGTATTTAGGCTACTAAACAGAGAGGTTGTCCTAATGCATCRATAACCCAGGTAGAAAATTCTAACAAAGTTGAGTCACGTCCTTTCAACAGGCTCTTCTCCGTTGACACATTTAGTCTAATCTCTAAGAGACTTTTTCAGTCTGAGGAGTTGCAGGTAAACTCAGCCTGCAGATGAACCAGTTGGCCGATCAACCAAAACTAGTTGTTAACATGCAAAAGAGGACTTTCAGCCTAACAACCAGTCATTAGTGCCCAGATGGTTGCTTGTTGTTCACCGTGGGCTGAGTGATACTCGAAATA